CTCTCTCTCTCTCTCTCTCTCTCTCTCTCTCTCTCTCTCTCTCTCTCTCTCTCTCTCTCTCTCTCTCTCTCTCTCTCTCTCTCTCCTCCTCTCTTTGTCTGTCTGTCTGTCTGTCTGTCTGTCTCTCTCGTCTCTCTCCTCTCTCCCTCTCGTCTCTCTCTCTCTCTCTCTCTCTCTCTCTCTCTCTCTCTCTCTCTCTCTCTCTCTCTCTCTCTCTCTCTCTCTCTCTGCTCTCTCTCTCTCTGTCTCTCTCTCTCTCTCTCTCCTCCTCTTCTCTGTCTCTCTCTCTCTCTCTCTCTCTCTCTCTCTCTCTCTCTCTCTCTCTCTCTCTCTCTCTCTCTCTCTCTCTCTCTCTCTCTCTCTCTCTACCCCCTTATTACATTTTTTCTGCTGGAATGCCTCCTTCAAACAGCGAACTCATAAAAGCGAAATCAAGCAAGGCGTACGTACTATTCATGTTTATTCAATACCTCATTATTATATTTATTTTGTGATGTCATGAGAAATGCAACTGCTGCACATACTCCATGAATTTATAAGGAAAGAGCGATAAATGATGAAGAAAAAAATCCAAATTGGTACATTGTGATTGATGAATGATTCATTTTCATGCTTTATTCATACCTCTTCTCTTCCGCTTTCTCTTTGTCTTTCCGGTATATTCCCAATTACTTTTTTTTCTCTCCCTTTTTTCGATTATGATAACAGCAAAAATAATGATAATGCTAATCTTAACAATGATGATGATGATGATTATGATGACAACGAAAAAAATGATACGATGATAATAGTAATACTAACTATAACTATTATTATTATTCCTCTCATTATCATTTCATTATTCTTACTACTGCTTCTACAGTTATTACTATTACTCCTCCTCCTCCTTTATTATCGCCACCCTTCGCTTTATTGCTTTCATTTGATTAAAAAAAAAAAAAAAAAAAAGTAGAGGACCAGACATAGAGAAAAATGGATCCCAAAGTTGAGAGCAAACTTTCGAAAATCCTTTACATATGAAATCATTCGTTTATTGACGAGGAATTGATTGTATAAATGTATTTTTTTTTCTCTCTCTCTTTCGCGTGTATATTGCCTTTTGTATCACTTGACTTATTCAACACTCTAGGCTGTCCGCGTGCTAGTTTTTTTTTCTCTCTCTCTTTTTCTTTTCTCTTTCTCTGTCTGTTTCTGTCTTCCTCTATCTTTTTCCCTATTCTCTGTCTGTCTGTTTATTTGTCTTTCTCCTGTCTCTCTCTCTTTCTTTCTTTTTGTTTTCTGTCTGTCTATTTATCTGTCTCTCCTGTCTCTCTTTCTTTCTTCTTTATCTGTCTGTCTTTCTATCTCTTTCTTTCTACTGTCTCTTTCTCTATCTCTCTGTCTTCTCCTATCTATCCCTCTTTTTATCTTTCTATGTCTGTCTGGTTATCTGTCTTCTCCTATCTATCCCTCTTTTTATCTTTCTCTGTCTGTCTGTTTATCTGTCTTCCCCCCCCCCTCTCTCTCTCTCTCTCCTCTCTCTTCTCTCTCTCTCTCTCTCTCCTCTCTCTCTCTCTCTCTCTCTCTCTCTCTCTCTCTCTCTCTCCTCTCTCTCTCTCTCTCTCTCTCTCTCTCTCTCTCTCTCTCTCTCTCTCTCTCTCTCTCTCTCTCTCTCTCTCTCTGTCTGTCTGTCTCTGCTGTCTGTCTGTCTGTCTGTCTGTCTCTCTCTCTCTCTCTCTCTCTCTCTCTCTCTCTCTCTCTCTCTCTCTCTCTCTCTCTCTCTCTCTCTCTCTCTCTCTCTCTCTCTTCTCTCTCTCTCTCTCTCTCTCTCTCTCGTCTCTCTCTCTCTCTTCTCTCTTCTCTCTCTCTCTCTCCTCTCTCTCTCTCTCTCTCTCTCTCTCTCTTCTGTCTCTGTCTCTTGTCTGTCTATCTCTCTCTCTCTCTCTCTCTCTCTCTCTCTCTCTCTCTCTCTCTCTCTCTCTCTCTCTCTCTCTCTCTCTCTCTCTCTCTCTCTCTCCTCTCTCTCTCTCTCTCTCTCTCTCTCTCTCTCTCTCTCTCTCTCTCTCCTCTCTCTCTCTCTCTCTCTCTCTCTCTCTCTCTCTCTCTCTCTCTCTCTCTCTCTCTCTCTCTCTCTCTCTCTCTCTCTCTCTCTCTCTCTCTCTCTCTCTCTCTCTCTCTCTCTCTCTCTCTCTCTCTCTCCTCTCTCTCTCTCTCTCTCTCTCTCTCTCTCTCTCTCTCTCTCTCTCTCTCTCTCTCTCTCTCTCTCTCTCTCTCTCTCTCTCTCTCTCTCTCTCTCTCTCTCTCTCTCCTCTTCTCTCTCACTCACTCCACTCTCTCTCTCTCTCTTCTCTCTCTCTCTCTCTCTCTCTCTCTCTCTCTCTCTCTCTCTCTCTCTCTCTCTCTCTCTCTCTCTCTCTCTCTCTCTCTCTCTCTCTCTCTCTCTCTCTCTCTCTCTCTCTCTCTCTCTCTCTCTCTCTCTCTCTCTCTCTCTCTCTCTCTCTCTCTCTCTCTCTCTCTCTCTCTCTCTCTCTCTCTCTCTCTCTCTCTCTCTCTCTCTCTCTCTCTCTCTCTCTCTCTCTCTCTCTCCTCTAGTCAATGCTTCCGAAGAACGAATGGCAACATCGACGTGAGATTTGCGTGAGAAATTGGACACGTTTTGCATAATTCCACTTATTCATTTATATATTAATTTTATCATTACACATGTTCTTTTCTTTCGTTCTTTCTCTCCATTTATTTACTCAATGATCCATCTACTTATTCATCCACTCCCAACTACATCCATCTGTCTACCGAACCACTCATCCACATACCCAGCTACTCTACCATCTGGTCATCCTCCTGTCATATGTTTTTATTTTTTATTATTTATTTATTTATTTTTTTTATTTTATTATTTGTTTTTATTTTTTTAGCAAATTCGTATAATGATGTGGAATCCAAGTACTGCACTCTGCAACATACGTAATTGCAGGAAGTGTTATTTAGTTTTATTTATTTTTATTTACGCTGATATGTTGTTCGTGATAAATATTGCTCGAATGTATGTGGAGAAAACACAATGTTCCGTAATTAATGCTAAGAAAAGTCACTGATAATGGCAACGTGACTTTCCTTTTTCATTCCTTCTAATTATCCATCTTTTCTTCATCTTTCTCAATAATACGGTGGGGAATAAAAGAAGGAAGTAAGGTGGAAGAGGAAAGGATGAGGCGAACAGATGAATTATAAATGCCATGATAAGCATAACCTTTCGATTCTCCCGGTCGCCCAGCTGGTCCGCTAAGTGAATCCGATCCTTTCGCATAAGTTCGAAGAGCGTATAAGTGTATAAAGTTATTCGAATGCTAATCGGTTTCGTCACATAGTTTTATCATAGATGTCTGTTTTTATATTTTTTAGATGATATTTAATAAGGAGAATATGCATGGAATTGGAAAAAATCGGAAGAAATAGCTAGAAAAAGGAATTATTAAAAGTCATAAGAAGCTATAGATAAGTAAGTAATGACAAGAAAAAAAATGTGCTAGACAGCTATAGATAAATAGGACAATAGAACGTGAAAAAAAATAGATTGAGGAAAATGAGAGAAAGCAGAGATCGGTCGCCGAGGAATTAGGAAGAGAGAGAAGGAGAGAGAGAGAACGCGTGATATAACATGACCGGATCTTGCATATTGCAGAAGAACAAGTCCCTCACTTCATCGCTTTTCTTAATGCTGTCATTCATACATGTCTCGGCATACTTCATTCTTCGATTTCCTCCAGATTTGGTTTATTCTCTTTCTTTTTGCTCACGTCTCCTCCTCTTTCTTTTATTTATAGTGTCCTTGATTGGCGTTTTCGATTCTTCCTTTTTTTCACTATTTTATCTCATTCTCGCGTATCCTTTTACTCCCCTTTCCTAATTCCCGTCTTCCGTATATACCCCTTTCCGTCCCCATTCCCCCGCCCCTTTTCTCCTCTCCCTCCCCCTCCCCTCCCCTCCCTCCCCTCCCCCTTCCCCACCCTTTCCCTTCCCCTCCTCTCCCTCCCTTCCACTCTCTCTCTCCCTCCCCCTCCTCCTCTCCCTCCCTCTCCCTCCCCCTTCCCCTCCCTCCTCTCCCTCCCCTTTCCCCTCCTCTCCCTCTCCCTCCCTCCCCTTCCTCCCCAACCCCTTCCCCACCTCTCCCTCCCCCGCCCACGAGCTAACCGGAAGAGGGCGTGCGTGCCGAGCCTCTTAGAATGAATAACGGGCGCCCATGCCGAGGGATTCTGGCGCGTGTCCGATAAACGCCTGATTTATGCATGGCGGAGGGGGGGGTGGGGGGGGGGGGGGGGTGGGATGTACGTGCTAGGAGGCACTGGCTTCCTGGAGAGCCATAGCGAGTGCCTCTCCTAATGCCGCTCTTTAGACCACGCCCCTTTGGCTCCGCCTTCCTCTCTCGCCCACTACCTGTGCTGGGAGGCATCAGAGCGTGTGGGAGATAGATAGTGATGGTTTTATTATTATATCATCATTATTATTATTCATATTATATTATTATTATATTATTATTATTATATTATTATATTATTAATATTATTATTAATACGATTAATATATTATTATTATTATTATTATTATATTAATATTATTAATTATCTATTTTGGATCATTTTTTTTCTATTCTTATTATTACCTCTTTTGGATCAGAATAGCTATTTTCTAAGTGAGGATTTGTTGGCTATTCCTACTACGTGTGTTGGAAAAATATAGTGGCATAACTATAATGCTTAGATTTCACGACTTGAGGAGGAGTTAGTTATAAGTAAATGCAAAAGTGAAATTACTCGCAAGAAAATAATACATGAAAATGAAATTATCAATAATAAGTAAAAAAGGTAAACAGAAAAAAAAGAATACGCATATTATATACAAAACTCCTCGCCGTAACCCTGAAATAGCCCATGATCCAAAACGTAAACAAACGCCCCCCCCCTCGCGTCCTATAACCTCCGGAACAGAACCCGGACCTAACCCTTCCTTCCTGCTTCTTCCAGCGCGCTACGGGAGGCCAGGATTCAGGCCGAGCTGGATAGGATAGCACCAGATCCTTCGGTTTTGAAACTCGAAGGAAGGAACGTGTGTGGACTCCTGGACAGCGCCTCTCCCTCGCGACCTTTCGTCATGAATTTCGGGTCATGCACGTGACCTACGTTCATGGCCAGCTTGGAGCGGTTCCATGAGGTGAGGGTGCGGGTGAGGTGGAGGGTGGGAGGTGGGAGGGGAAGGGGGAGGGAGGGAAGGAGAGGAGGAGAGGGGAGGTGGAGGAGGAAGGTGGGAGAGGGAGGAGGAAGGAGGAGGGAGGGAGGGGAGAGGGAGGAAAGGGGGTGGAGGAGGAGGGTGGGAGAGGGAGGAGGAAGGTGGGGGGAGGGAGGAAAAGGGAGGGAAAGAAGGAGAAAGGGAGAGGAAGAAGTTTAGGAGGGAGGGGAGGAGGAGGAAGGGAGGGAGGGAGTGAGTAGTAGGAGGGGAGGGAGGGAGGGAGAGGAGAGGAGCGCTAGAGTAAGAAGGGACTTAAAAATTATTCAACATGTTTATTTTTTCACTTCCTTGTAGTCCTTATTTTTTTTATTGTTTTAATTCATCAAATGCCTATCTCTCTGTCTCATTGTCTTCCCTACCATCTCTGTATTTCTTGTATTCTCTATCCTTTCCCTCTCCTCTCTCCCTCTTAACCATTCCTTCCCTCTCCTCCCTCCCACTACCCACCTATCCCCCTCTCCTCTCCATTCCCTCTCCCTCTCCTCATTCTCCATTTTTCCATATTTCCTCCCTCCCACCATCTCTCCATCTCTCTCCCACCGCCTCTCCTCTCTCCCACCCTCCCACCGTCTCTCCCTCTCCCTTCCTCCCCCTATCTCTCCTCTCTCCTTCCTTCTCTCCTGTCTCCCACCCTCTCCTCCCTCCTCCCACTATCTCGCCTCTCTCCCTTCTTACCTCCCTTTCTTCTACCATCTTTCCCACCTCCCTCCCTCCCACCGTCTCTCCCACCGTCTCTCCTCTCCCCCTTCTTCCACCCTCCTCCCTCTCTCCCTCCCTCATTCTACATCCTCCCTCTCTCTCCGCAGATGACTGAGGACTACTCCGAGCTGGCAGACTTCGCCCTCGTGTACACCGCGGAGGCACACCCCATCGACGGATATTTTCTCAAAGACAACTTGCAGATTCCGAAGCATAAGTAGGTGTCTTCGGGGAATTGATTGGATGTCTGTCTGTCTGTCTGCGGTGGTTGTTTTGTGCGGGTTGGGGTGTGTGCGTTGTGTGAAGTTGGTTGTATTGTTGGGTGGTTGGTTATTGCCTGCTTTTGATGGTTATATGTATTATGATGGTAGAAAAACCCACAATATACAAACTAGATTTATTGAAGAAAGTGAGAAAGTGTCTCACTTTCTTCAATAAATCTAGTTTGTACATCGTGGGTTTTTCTACCATAGTATCAACACGGTAGTGTGTTATTCTATTATTATGTGTTTTTCTATTATTATTTCTAGTATTATGATGATAAAAAGAAAGAGAGAAAGAAAGAAAGATTATTCAAGTCACCGCTTCGACAATGTATGTGTTTTGTAGCCAATGGGTAGTTTAGGCGTATCTTTTGGAAGAGGCATTCGTTAGTTAAAGTTTCCCTCGCTTATTTTTCTTTTGTGTCTGTCTGTGTGTCTGTCTCCCTCTGTCTCTCTGTCTCTGTCTCTGTCTCTGTCTCTGTCTCTGTCTCTGTCTCTGTCTCTTCTGTTCTCGTCTCTCTGTCTCTCCTGTCTCTCGTGTCTGTCTCTGTCTCTTCTCTCTCTCTCTCCTCTCTCTCTCTCTCTCTCTCTCTCTCTCTCTCTCTCTCTCTCTCTCTCTCTCTCTCTCTCTCTCAGGTTAGGTTAGACTAGGCTTAGATTAGGTTTTTATTATGGTTGATATTAGGTTAGGTTAGGCTAGATTAGGTTAGGTTACGTTACGTTTTTATTATGGTCGATGTTAGGTTAGGTTAGATTAGGTTAGGTTTGGCTAGTTTATGTTAGGTTAGGTTAGGCTTAGGTTATGTTAGGTTTGTTTAGGTTTTGTTTTTGGTTCTTAGGTGGTTAGGGTTTTAGGTTAGGTTAGGTTAGGTTAGGTTAGGTTAGGTAGGGTTAGATTAGGTTAGGTTAAGTTATATTTGGTTAGGTTAGGTTGATTTAGGCTAGGTTAGTTGGGTTTGGTATGTTAGGTTAAGTTAGATTAGATTAGACAAGGTTAGGTTTTTATTATGGTTGATGTTATTCCATCTGTTCTTTATCATCATGATCATCACTCTCGCAGACTCTCAACATTCACCTTATTTTCGCAGAAACTACAAAACTCCAACCCGCCCACCACATAACCCCCCCCCCCCCCCCGAAAATCCCTCACAAATACCCCACCATTCACTCACACCTCCTACCATCAACCCTGGTTATCAACCCTCTCGCCATTCCCATCTTTAGCGAAAACGGAACAAAACCCCCACAGATAACCCCACCATTAACCCCGCCCCCCCTCTCTCCTGCAGGACGCTGGAAGAACGTTACAAAGCCGCCAGCTGATGTTGGACCAGCAGCCGCAGTCCTGTCCAGTGCTGGTGGATAGGCTCAGCGACGAGGCTAACAAGGCCTATGCAGCGAGTCCGGGGCGCTTGTATATCGTGCTTGAAGGCATTGTGGTGTATAAGGGTGGGCAGGGACCCCTGGGTTATAAGGTTTGTTGGTGTTGGTTGTTTGGGTGTTTTTTAACCGAGTGCTGATTTTGTGTGTGTGTGTGTGTGTGTGTGTGTGTGTGTGTGTGTGTGTGTGTGTGTGTGTGTGTGTGTGTGTGTGTGTGTGTGGTGTGTGTGTGTGTGTGTGTGTGGAGGGGGGTTATGGGTTAGTAAGGTTTGCATGTAACTTTGTTGTTAGGTATAGCTGTTTATATAGATAAAGAAAAAAAAAAAAAATGCACGCACGCACGTAGGCAGGCACACACACACACACACACACACACACACACACACACAACACACACACACACACACACACACAACACACACACACACACACACACACACACACACACACACACACACACACACACACACAGGCGTAGGTACATCCACCTGTAAAGCCTTAATTAGATACTCAACCGCACCAAAACCAACAGGTGTTCGTGCGTGACTCCTTCGGCTGACTAACCTATTTTTATGCCAGTGAAAGTCATACGGAAATCCGATTTCGTGACACCCTTTTCCTCGGGCGAACAAGGTGGATGAGGGAGGGGGGAGTGAAGGAGGAAGGAGGTGAGGGAGAAAGGAGAGGAGGGAGGGAGGAGGGAGGGAGAGGAGGGGGGGAGGAAGGAGGAAGGAGGAGAAAAGAGGAGGCAGGAGAGGAGGGGAAGGGGGTGAAGGGGGGAGGGAGGAGAGGGGGAGGAGGGGGGAGAGGAGGGAAGGGGGAGTGAAGGAGGAAGGAGGTGAGGGAGAAAGGGGAGAAAAGGGGGAGGGAGGGAGAGGGGGGAAGGGGAGTGAAGGAGGAAGGAGGTGAGGGAGAAAGGGGAGAAAAGGGAGGAGGGAGGGAGAGGGGGAAGGGGGAGTGAAGCAGGAAGGAGGTGAGGGAGAAAGGGGGAGAAAAGGGAGGAGGGGGAGAGGAGGGAAAGGGGGAGTGAAGGAGGAAGGAGGTGGGAGAAAGGGGAGAAAAGGGAGGAGGGAGGAGAGTAGGGGAAGGGGGAGTGAAGGAGGAGGAGGTGAGGGAGAAAGGGGGAGAAAAGGAGGAGGGAGGGAGAGGAGGGGAAGGGGAGTGAAGAAGGAAGGAGGTGAGACAGAAAGGGGGAGAAAAGGGAGGAGGGAGGGAGAGGAGGGGAAGGGGGAGTGAAGAGGAAGGAGGTGAGGGAGAAAGGGGGAGAAAAAGGGAGGAGGGAGGGAGAGGAGGGGAAGGGGGAGTGAAGAAGGAAGGAGGTAAGGGGGAAAGGGGAGAAAAGGGAAGGAGGGAGGGAGAGGAGGGAAGGGGGAGTAAAGAGGGAAGGAGGTGAGGGAGAAAGGGGAGAAAAGGAGGAGGGAGGGAGAGGAGGGAAGGGGAGTGAAGAGAAGGAAGGAGGTGAGGGAGAAAGGGGGAGAAAAGGGAGGGGAGGGAGAGGAGGGAAGGGGGAGTGAAGAAGGGGAGGTGAGGGAGAAAGGGGAGAAAAGGGAGGAGGGAGGGAGAGGAGGGGAAGGGGGAGTAAAGAGGGAAGGAGGAGGGAGGGAGAAATGGGAGAAAAGGGAGGAGGCGAGACAGAAAGGGGGAGAAAAGGGAGGGAGGGAGGGGAAGGGGAGAAAGGGGAGGAGGGTGGAGGAGGGAGGGGGCAGCGAACGTCACTCAACCTTTCGTGATGTTCAGCTCGGTAATTGCGCTGGGTTGTGACCGGGCTTCTTTGATTACAGAGGAGAATAGAGGATGTTGGTGATTCTTTTATGACTTGCTTATGACTGCAGAATATTTATCTTTTCGTCGATATCGGTCGTGTTGTATTTAATGCCTTTATGTGAGATTTTTTATTGTTTTTATCACGATCGTACAGCTACTGGTCACTGATAATGACAGTATAATACAGCTATCTCTCTCTCTGTCTGTCTGTCTGTCTGTCTGTCTGTCTCTCTCTCTCTCTGTCTGTCTGTCTGTCTCTCTCTCTCTCTCTAATTATTATCTTTCATAACAATTATCGCTGTCGCTTATGAAATGTTTTTTTATTATTGGTGATGTTATTCCATTATTGTCGTCTTGATTACTATCGTGGTTATCAAACTATCGTCATTCACTTCATTAATATCAACGAATGAAAATGATAAGTAAATCTAACCATCTCTATACCTATCCCTACCAACATCAACGTATTCGTCCACCAACCTAATAATCAATCTCCCTAACTATGCTTGGCTAGGACTACATCTCCATAAAGGTGCTGTCACACTAGCACTTTTTCCGTCAATTTTTTGCCAATTTTATTTAACATAAATACAAACATTCTCGAATATAGCTCTTGATTTGACTATGCTTGG